TAAAAGTTAGTTAGTTAGTTATATAAATAAAACAGGGTTGACACAAAAAATTAATTTTGTTTTTCTCCTGACTTTTCCCTGATTTCCAGAAAAAATTTTCACTTTTTCCCTGACCATAAAGAATATTCTGATTCACTTTCAAAATTATTAGATACTCAAAAAAAAACATTCTACTACATTTACTTACGAATTTCTTAAATTGTAAAATTATTCATTATTCGCAAACATCAATAACTAAATTTTTAAATAAGTATTTAATTATTATTTTTCCATAGGAATTAAAATTCTTCAAAACATTCAAATTCAAACATTTTTCAAATTCAACAACTTATAAAATAATTTTAATTTCCATTAAATTTTTCAAAAAAAAAAAATTAAATTATTTACAAAAATTATAATAAAATTCGTTGCAAGAATTCACTTATTTTCATAAATAATAAAATTCTTCACATGATTTCAATTATTTTTAATACAATTTTAAATAAATTTCTCGAAAAATAAAATTATCTTCAAAAATTTTTTGCAAGAATTAAATTAGGTACATTTCATAAATAATGAAATTCTTCGCTGAAATTCAAAAATTTTCAAAATTTACATTTTTAATACAAGTTTTCAAAAGAATATAATTATTTAAATAAAATGTTATAAAATTCGTTGCATAAATTCAATTATTTTTACAAGTAATAAAATTTTTTACGTGAATTCAATTATTTAAAAAAAAAATTGATAAAATTCATTGCAAGAATTCAATTACTTTCATAAATTAATAAAATTCTTCACAGGATTTCAATTATTTTTAATACAATTTTAAGTAAATTCTTCGAAAAATGTCACTATTTTCAAAAATTTTGTTAAAATTCTTCGAAAGAATTCAATTATATGTATTTTATCAATTATGTATTTTTAAAAATTCATGCTATAATTCTTAGTAATATTCAATTATCTAAAATTTTAACTAATATTCATTTTCAAATCAATTTTTATTGGAAAATTCTATACAAGAATTAAATTATTTAAATACAAAAATAAATAATTTACTGAATAAATCAATGTTTTTTGAAACTAAATTATCATAAAGAATTTTATCAACAAATTTGAATTTTTTCGTGAAATTTTAATAAAATTTTCAAGAATAATTAAATTTTTCGAGGAATTCAATTAAAATTGTGGGGCCGTTCAAAAAATACGTAACGCTATTTTTCGGAAATTTGGACCCCCCCCTCCCCCCATGTAACGAAATGTTGTATACATTAGCGCCATTTTTTCTGCTGACCGTAACAAATAGCTTGACCCCCCCTCCCCCCTAAAGCGTTACGTATTTTTTGAACGGTCCCTGTATTAAAAATAATTGAAATTCTATGATGAATTTTATTATTCATAAAAATAATTTAATTTTTGTAAAAAATGTTATTATTTATGAAAATAATTGAATTATTGCAAAGTTTGCTTAGAATTTTATCAAAAATTTTTTTTTTAAATAATTGAATTCTTTTGAGAAATTTTATTAAAACTGTAGATATTGAAAATCATTGAATTGAAAAAAAATTTTTGAAAATAATTGAAAATTTGCAAAGAATTTTATTAAAATTTTTGAAAATAATTGAAATTTGGAGAAGAATTTTATTATTTTTAAAGATAATTGAATTTTTATGAGAATTTTTTTTTAATTTTTGAACATAATTGAATTTCTGCGAAGAATTTTATTACTTTTGAAAATAATTGATCTTCTTCAATTATTTGTAACTTCTCCAAAATTCAATTTTTTCCAGTTACTTAAATAAAAATCCCTGACTTCCCTGACCAATTTTACTTTCCCTGACTTTTCCCTGACTTTTCCCTGATTTCCCTGACCTGTGGCCTCGTAAAAATTTAATTAAAAAATTTAACAAAATCGAAATGTAAAACTGGTTAAAATCGATATTATTTTAATGTGAGATTAGATTTTAAATATTTGCAATTCAAGAAGGGATCTCCCCTATTTTATATATATAGAGATAGAGATACGTATGTGTATATATATAGGAAGAAAAGTTCTTTTAGAGAAAAAGATGGTTTGCAAAAGCATGAGAGAAAGATAATCTTCCTTGCACGAGAGGACTCACAGTCTGCCTTCTCTGCCGCGCATACAATTTGAAATTCCGAGTACATGTTCGCCAAAACGATTCGGAATTCAGCATCTTGAAAAGCTAAGGGAAATCTAACGGAAACGAGTGCATCTCAATGAAATCGTAACATCTTCAATTTAAACTCGCAGTTTAGTCTTGCAAATAAACAATTATTAAAAATTTTTTTGGAATTTTTTAAAATTAACTTCTCTATTTTTAACGCATTTGCGAAATTTTTTTCTACTCCATATTGTCAATATAAAATTAAAATAATATAATTTATAATAACTATCATAAAATTATTATTTATAAATTATTTAATGAATAATTTGACTTAAAAGTTTCAAAATTAATTGGATTTTTAAATAGTTGTGTTTACAATCTTCATAAATAGATGAACTTCAAAGGTTTCAATTTGAAATTTTAGAAAATCAAAATATCAATTTTTAATGAGATTTAAATAGAAATTTTAAAAACAACTGATTCTAGAAATTCAATTATTATTTTCATAAATAACAAAATTCATTTTAGAAATTCAATTATTTTCATAAATAACAAAATTCATTTTAGAAATTCAATTATTTTCATAAACAATAAAATTCTTCTCCGAAATTCAATTATTTTCTTAAACAAATTTAACAAAATTCTTGACAAAATTTCAATTATTTTTAAAAATGTTCCTCATTTCAATCATTTTCAATATCTACTATTTTATAATAAAATTTTTCAAAAGATTTCAATTATTTAAACAAAATTTTAATAAAAGTTTCATAGGGATTCAATTTACAATTTTTTATAAATTTTTTCGCGACAATTCAATTATTCTTAATTTTTTAATAAAGTTTCTCGACAGAATTCAAATATATAATATAGAGAATTTAAAAAAAATAGTTCTGAGAAATTCAATTATTTCGAAACATTTAAATATAATTCTGTTAAAAATTCTATTTTATTTAAAAAAAAATTTTTGACAAAATTCTTTACAAGATTTAGTTATTAAAATTGCAATTTTAATAAAATTCTCCTATAAAATTCAATTATTTTCAATAAAATTCTTCTTAAGAATTCAATTATTCTCATAAATTAATAAATTTTTTTAAGGGAATTCAATTATTAAAAAAAAAATTTGAATAAAATTCTTCGCTAAAAATACATTATTTTCATAATTATAATAAAATTTTTCTTGAAAATTCAATAAAAAAATTTTGATAATTATTTTCGTAAAAATTAAAATTCTCCCCAAGAATTCAATTTTATTCAAAAATAAATATTTTCACAAAAATACAATTATTTAAAAAAGTCATATTTTAATTATTTTTAATTTTTTAATGAAATTTCTCGATGGAATTTAATTATTTTCAAAAAGTTTTAAAAAATTCTGAGAAATTCAATTATTTAAAAAAATTTTGAATTAAATTCTTCACTGGAATTTAATTAACAATTTTTTATAAATTTTTTCGAACCAATTCAATTGTTTTTAATTTTTTAATGAAGTCTCTCAAAAGAATTCAAATATATTCAGAGAATTGAAAAAAAAATAGTTCTGAGAAATTCAATTATTTCGAAATAAATAAGAATAAAATTCTTTTAAAAATTCTATTATTTAAAAAAAAGGTTGACAAAATTCTTTACAAGATTTACTCAATAAAATTGCATTTTTATTAAAATTTTCGTACACAATTCAATTATTTTTAATAAAATTCTTCTTAATATAAGAATTCAAAAAATTTTTAATTTTACAAAAAATTGGAATAAAGTTCTTCGCAAGAAATCAAATATTTTCATAAATAATAAAATTTTTCTCGTGAATTCAATTATTTTAATAAATTTTGATAAAAATGCTTTATATAAATTTGAAAAATTATATAATAAAATTGATCATAGAATACAATTATTTTCGTAAAATATAACATTCATCCTAGGAATACAATAATTATTGTCAAAAATGTTTGTAAAAATTTTTGAAACAATTCAATTATTTTCGTAAAAAATAAAATTCTTCGAAGCAAATCATTTATTTAAGAAATTTTAATAAAATTCTTCCCAAGAATTCAATTCTTTTCAAAAATAAACATTTTCAAAGGAATTCAATTATTTAAAATTTTTTTTTTTAATTCTTCGTCAGGTTTCAATTTTTTAATGAAATTTCTCGATAGAATTGAATTATTTTCAAAAAATTTTTAAAAATTCTTAGAAATTCAATTATTTAAAAAAATTTGAATAAAATTTTACAATTAAAAAAACTCGTTAATTAATATAATAGAGAATTTTATTGAGTATCTAATAATTTTTGGAGTAAATGAGAATAATTTTCAGGGTCATAGAAAAATTTTAAATTTTATTCTGGAAATCAGGGAAAAACAAATTAAAATTTTTGTGGCAATCCTGAATAAATAAATAAGAATAATCCGCCATATTTATTTTTTTGAAAATCTGTAAAAAAAAATCGTAACCAGCTACCAAAAAAACTTCCAGATACTAACTTTCATGGAAATTTAATAAAACAAATTGTCCGCCATATTGGATCCGCCATTTTTAATTTCGAAGTTCTGTCATCGAATTCATAATCAGCGATGACTTCAAAAATCCCTGTATACTAATTTCTAAGCTAAGACAGCAATTTTTTAAGAAAATCAGCCATATTGTATCCGCCATTTTGAATTTTTCAAATCTCACACTACATTCTTGGTTAGTGACCCAAAAATTCATTGTACCCCATCTTTTTGTTCATTTTTGACTAATTTTTGTTATGTTTAGAATTATTTTAATATTCTCACATTCTGTGATTAAACTGTCTTCAAATGTCAGTTGAACTTTAAAAGTTCAACTCTTCGATAAATAATAATCTACAAACAAAGAAAAAAGAACGAAATCAGCTCAACGAGTGAGACCTACCTTTCGTTGATATTGTGAGCGAGGAACGACTTGGGCAAGGACAGAGATCTCTGCTGCGGATCCAGAATGACACCACTTGGCAATGAATTGTCCCTCTTGGCCGGTGCACTTCCGGGTCTCGATAAAATTCCATCCCGAGGTGGTTCAATCAATGTCTTCAGGGATCCAGCCATTGCGTCCTCCATTGGCGTCGATGCTCCCGAACTCTTGGCATTTTTTGGACTCTTCGTCGATGTTCGATCGGACGTTGTCACCCAAATATCACTGCTGGAAGATGATGATGAGGTTGGAGATATTGCAATACCACTTGGCGATTTATTTAAACACTTCATTTGATTGGGGGAAACTTTTCTCTCCGTCTTTTGGGGCACATCAAAATTGTTACCGATTTCTGATGATTTCCGATAATCCCTCTTATCGGAATTAGCCACGTGACCATTAACCGTTTCATTGGGAGTCCAGCGGGAAGAGGGTTTTAGAACGCCCCTTGGAACGCGTTCCTGATACTTGGGACCACCATTAACATATCTTTGACCAGACTTTCTCAAATTGTCCCGATCCCTCGTTTCCCTGTCGTCCATTCTTTCGAGTGAGGCCGGCGACGAACAGGTACTACCTCTATTAACTTGACTTCCTGTTTCGGAAGTCATTCTCTGATGTGCCGGATAACTTTGTGAAACTTTCATGAAAACCGGGCCTTGACTGGGTGAATAAATACTGTCTCTTTGGGAGCAATGTGGCCAAAAATCACAAGTACTACTGTTACATCGCATTTTTGATTCGGGACTGAGAGTGAAATCGTGATTTGACGTTGAATTAGTGACGGGAGTTGTTACACCGCGTTGTAAAGTTTTTGGTCTACTAATTTGTTGTTGGGTCGAGGTATTGTTGTTTGCTTTAATTGGTTGAGTTTGTTTAGAGGATATAAAGTAAACGTCATATGAGTTTGGAGTTGTTTTTCGCTGATCTGCATTATCGTTGCGCTTTTCGAAACGACTTGAGAGAAGATTACGCGCAGCAACACGACTACGGGTACCGTAAAGAAATTCAGTAACCACTTCTGCCTCTCGCAATAAATCCTCGCTCAAGGCATCCTCCGTGGACTGTGCTTTTCCTGGGGAAATAGGTGCATTAAATGTACGAGTAACAAAGCCACTAAAAAGAAAAACGCAAATAAAAAGACCAACAGGTTCTCTAAGATGAAACAGCTAGTAAAGAAAAAAAAGTTTCCTGTTTAATTGGACCTGGCTAATTGAATGAGATATTCTTTGTGAAGGTTTCGAGAAAACTGTAGTCTTTTTTAAGAAACTTTAAAAAGATCCGTTTCTTCACTATTAAAATATCTCATCTATTAGTGACACACAATTTCCTCACATCTGACGATCATATTGATAAATCTGTAAAGCAGAATGCTAGACAAATTCTGTTTATCCATTTGGCACATTTTTTGTGCTTATTAATTAGGAGAATTCCCTGCAAGTTGAGATTGACTCGCACTGCCAACTACGGTATCTTTAGTTACTGACCCTTGCTAATTCACAAAATTATAGTAATTGTTACGTAACTGCGACGGCGGAATTGATAACCGGTAAACATAATTGCAATTCGTAAGTTTCATATTCGGAAGCAAGGAAATAAATTATTAAACACTGCCTAATTAACCGAATTTCCAAAATGTCATCTATTTGCACCGATCACATACATCGAATTAATTACCGATGTATTTTATTGTAATCCACAATTAACGAATTCGGAATCAATAAATCAATTATGTAGCTCTACCCAATTCATGAAATCACAGTAATTGTTACCTAATTGCGACGGTGGAATTAATTACCGTACAGTTAATTGGAATTCGTAATTACCAATTCTGGTTGCTACTACATTAGCTGCTGCTTACTGACTAATTTGAGAATCTACAGTTACTGTGATCTTTTTGCGATGTTGAAATTAATTACCGATATACTTAATTGAAAATCGTAATTATCAAAATCGGAAGCAACTACAATTATTAAACACTATCCTATTCGTCGAATTACCGAAATTGTTATGTAATTGCGAGGGTGCAATTAATTACGGGTTTGTTCAATTCCAATTCGTTATTACCAGAGTTTGGAAATATAGTTTAATTCAACGAATTCCAATATCTAATTGTCAGGTTTGAATTAATTACCGGAATACTTAATTACAATTAGCAAACTCCGAATCCAAAAGCAACAACATTAATTACTTAGCAGTGCCTACTTCGCCGAATTACGAAATTGTTATCTAATTGCGACATTTAAATTAATTACCGGTATACTTAATTGTAATTCGTAATCACTAAATCTGAAAACGGATAAATTAGTTACGAAGACTTGTGTAATTCACGACAATTCGGAAAGTGTTATCTAATTGCTACGACGAAATCATAAACTAGTGAAGTTATTTGGAATTCGTAATTATCGAATTCGGAAGCAATTACAATAATTAATAAGGACTGTCCTCTTCGACGAATTACTGAAATTACCATCTATTTGCTACAATGTAATTAATTATCGGTATAGTTATTTGCAAATCGTAGTTATCAAATTGCAATTAGCTATAATAATTATTAAGCACCCTTCTCTCACGACGAATTACCGTAATTGTCATCTAATTGCAACGGTGCAATTAATTACCGGTATAGTTAATTGCAATTCGTAAATTCCGAATTCGGAGGAAACGACATCAATTAATCAGTACTGCCTACTTCTCCGATTTGCAACAACGTTATTGTGACGGTGAAATTAATAACAGGTATTTGCAAATCGTAATTATCTGCATACTAAATTGCAATTCGTAATTACCAAATTCGGATGCAAGTAAATTAGTTACTGAGCATTGTCTTATTCGATGAATTATCGAAATAGTCATCTAACTGGGACGCTGCAATTACCAATATGCTAACTTGAAATTCGTAATTAAAACATTTTTGAAGTATCGTTCAATTCACTGAATTCCAAACTTGTTATCTAATTGCAACGTTTGAATTAATTACCGGTATACTTAGATGCAATTCGCAATTACCAAATTCCGATGTAAAATATTAATATTATTGAGCGTTACCTAATTTGCAAATTTAGAGTAACCGTTATTTATTTGCGATGTTGTAATTAATTAACGGCATAGTAGTTAATTGAAAATAGTAATCATTAAATTATCGGTAGGCTAAATTACAGATCGTAATTGCCATATTTTTAAAGTATAGGTCAATTAACTAAAGTCCAGACTTGTTATCTAATTGCGACGCTTGAATTAATTACCGAAATACTGTATTATAAATCGTAATAACCAAAGTCTGAATCCGCATAGTAAATTGCAATTTGTAATTACCGAATTCGGATGCATATTAGTTACAGACCATCTAATTCTCCGAATTACAGTAACAGTTATCTAATTGCGACGGGGGAATTAATTACTAGTATCGGTAGTTGGAATTCGTAATTCCCAACTTCGGTATTAGACAGTGTAATTACTGAATAAATTCAATTCACAGAATTCCGAATATGTTATTTAATAGCGACCGTCGAACACGGGCGCTGCGAGAGAATGACGACAGCGCACGAAAGTCGCGCCGCCCTCTCTCCCCCACCACTCGCTCTCGTCTTGCTGGCTCAGAGCGAAGCTATATAAGCCGCCCGCACAGTTTCTCCGTCAGTTTGTCTTCCAACTTGGTTCGAGGTGCACTTCAAACCTTAATCGGAACTTTCTCATTCCTGAATGTATTCGCTTCTAAATAAAAGCCTAGTTTCCCCTTTCGCTTACTATTATTACCTTCTATTTTCATTATTATTTTTTGTTACAATAGATATTTCTTGCGAAGGTTTAAATTAATGACTACACCTCTCCTCTAAATCACAGTAAACTGAAAGGTTCCAAAATAAACTCTGTCTTGATAATGTAGCGATAAAATAATGTGAGTATTAGTTTTCGTGTATGAGCGACGTTTATATTTGTATGTGCGTAATATAAGAAGACACGACGAATTTTGTCGTATTTTGACGAATTCTTATTCGGTTTCCTAAATGAGAAAGAGTAGGGAGAAGTATAGGGAACTGCTGTAATATTGTATCTGCGAGTCAATGTTTCGTCGTCTTCCATAAGAAAAAGAAATTCTTTTCGCCATATCTTGTGTACTCGTCGAGAAACCATAAGGTAATCGTTTGATTATATTTTAGATCTTTTATGTAATGTTACATTCATATGTATTATGGATAAAAGGTGATCTCGATACATATATATATGTGTGTGTATTTTTTATATAGAGTGGCGAATTGATATATGGTGAAATGATATTCGTATTCCGGCCTTGATATAATTCGTGTGGCATCTTTTTGAGCAATTATGTCTAAAGGGAAGGATATTTCTCGCAAGGAACTTTATTGAAACATCAATCCAAATTAAGGGTCAAGAGATGTACTTTAATTTATAAATCCTTCAACTATCCTTTACATATGGACCTTGTGACTACATTGATGCACCATTTCGATCATTGAGCCTTTTGGAATAAAAAATGTAATAAAGGAAGCGACGAACAAACAGATTAATACGTAAGAAATTCTAAATTAAATTTTATAAGAAAATGAATGATAATTGAATTTATGTCGAACTATTTTTATATTTTTGATATCATTATTGTATGATTGTCTGTAATTGTGTGATTTTGTGTGTAATTTGTTTGGTGTGAATGTAAAATATAACGATCATGACGTCATGCTTTATTGAACTATTAATGTAATTGGATATTTTGGCATTTACTTGACTTCTATTAAATTGATAAATATATTAATTTGTGCCTTTATAAAAATCGATTATTCTTATTTTAAAATAAATTCTTTAATATAATACTCATTTTATCATTTATTTTATTTTAAATTATTAATTTTATTTTTTCACATGTTTGAATATTTTTTAAAGATAAAATTAATGGTTACATTTTTGGCGCTCAACGTGAAGGGCACGATAGAATTTGTCCGTTTATTTAAAGTTTTGTTTTGTGTTCTTCGAGAAATTTCGTTGTATATTTTTGATTATATGAAAACAAGGTCAAAAGAAGGCTTGTTGTTGACGGGTTTAGAAAGATTTAAGAAAATTAAAAACACATTTAATAGAAGTCAGGAAATATTGGAAAATAATTGTGACGAAATGGAAACTGGCGATGGAGAAAATTTAAATGCAATGTCGATAGACGAACTTCGAGAAGAAGTGCATAGATTGCAACAACTAAATGTAGTACAAAATAATCGTTTAGCTATTTTAACACAACAAAATGTGACTAATAATGGGAATGCAAATAATCCGCTTTTGAAGGTCACGTTAAAGTTTGGTTTGAAACACAAAGAAATTTATTTACAGATTATGACGATTTTAAAGAAAAATTTCTAAATGAATTCTTTTCTATTCCCATTAGAGTGAAAATTAAATCGATTTGGCTTTCTAAAAGATTTGAACCTTCTCAAGATACATTGCATTCATTTTTCTTAAAACAGGTTCGGGAGGCTCAATATTTTTTACCGAAAATTGATGATTATGAGGTTCATTATACAATAGTAGCGCAAATGCCGATCCGTGTTCGGGAAGCAATGGCTGCTGTTGATTTTTCAGATTATCAAAAAATATCTCAGGCCCTCACGAGATTAGATCTTACATTTAATGACAAAACGAATATTCAAAAAAAATATCAAAACCAACAATCAAATCTATCTGGAAATAAACCCGAAAATAAAAATAATATTCAGGTTCGTCACATCAATGCTGATAATGGTCGACTCGATCGGGGACAGAACTTTTATCAGGTAGAAAGAAGTAATAATTTAGAGTCAAAAGATTTTCATAAAAGTGGTTATAGTCATCGAGGTGACATGCAATTGCCTGATATGAGTGTTCCTCCCCCTCCCTCGTTCAACTCGTCTCATCGGATTCCAAATAATAAGCAACAATATACAAATAATTTAAACTGGATGTAGGCGCGATGTTATCGATCGGGGCATCGTGCCGATATCTTTATTCTGATTTTCGCGATTTGACAAATGAAGTAACACAAAATGATTTTAATGATAATGATAAAAAGAAACTTTCTCGTATACCATTATG